GCTTCAAAAGGACTTGAGCCTGGGCTTTAGACATTCATCTTCCAGCAGAACAGGTGGTTCTTGATGTGAGGAACTGAGAAAATGTTGAAAGGACCTAAATACTTTTGCTAACTAATCTATGACTCAGTTTGTGTTGAATTAAATGTTTATTGTTCGCTAAGTTTTACCCACTGTTAGCTCACATTATTATGTTAAAATGACCCCAATGTTCGCTTGCTGACTTGTAAAGTGTTTGTTTCTCACCTGGATCTGATGATTGTTACTGTCAGACACACAACACATTTTATATTTTAAGGTTGGTAATAAAAAACATGAATTTCAAACATTTTATTGGAGAAAGAGATTAATAAAAGTTTTAAATGGTATGTGCAGTGTGTTTATGTGGTTAAACAACCGTTTTTTTTTTAGTTTTTTTTTTAACTACCTTTATTTAGCACATACCGATTTGGTTGTTCCTGTGTTAATAGTTTCCTTCATGCTGTTTTTCCATGTGACAACAGACGCTACAACAGAATTACACGTGTCCAATTCCAAGTTGGCTGAGCTGGAGGCTGCATTCGCTGCTCAAAAATCTGAGGTCAGATTTTTTTCTTATTTTTCCCTCTCAGCCATATTCTACAGATTCACTTCTTACAGAAGGAAAGACATCAGCCTAACAGAGTAAAAACATAACAATTTCCCAGGTTTCCCAGAAAGAAATTCTTATAAAATTAAACCTTGTTCTGCTTTAGTTCAGAATCAATATATCCTATGCAAAACAAACCTGATCCTGTACATGAGAGGAAACATGTTAATAATTGTACTATGTTCTCATACTGAGGCTTTAAAGAGCAGAACAGGTGAATAAAATGACAAATATTCTCCGTCAGAGATTACTGCTTTCAGCGAGTCCCTCATTCTTGCTGTAAACACTAAGGTGAAGAATAATCCATGCCTAAAAATAACTGCCTGCAAATGTAACCCAACATAAGCTGATTTGTTTTAAAGAGAAGTAGCTGGAATAGAAAGTACCCCGCTGTTTTAATTAAGAGCTGAAATGGAGAATTTGCTGAATACTTTACTTTATTGAAATCTCAGAAGCTGAAGTCTCTCAAAGGAGCAAATTGGCTTAAAGTACCACTGACGACATATGGAAGCACTCTGACATACGTTTAAGAGATGAGAATTAAACTTCACTGCACAAAGCTGGTAGTTTAGTGTGGATTTTTCTCACATTTTGGGTTTTAAGGACACACGTGTTTTTGCAATTGGAATGATAATGACATGTAACTTTTGCTAGCCACTCATTAAAAAAATTACATAGAGGCTCAAATATAATCACTCCCCTTTAATATTTACATGAATGATCTGCAAACTGCATCATTCCTGTCAGCAACACAGCTGGTGCTCAAAAGAGGTTCTATTCCATCCCTCCTCTCACCAGGATTAGAACACATATTTAGATTAGGCAGTTCTCTGGTGCAGACCCCACTTTTAAGCTTAATTCCTAGCATTCCTTGACTTTTGAAGCCTTTCAGGACAGCTTTAGGAGTTGCTTTGTTTAAGGAGACTTATGGCTTTAATAGTTGCTGATATTATTTCTTAGGGTTATTAGTGATTATTGAATATTGTTTCCCTTCATGCCCATATCATAAGGACACTATGGTTTTAAAAATTCTTTAAAAATAAAATCAGCCTTGCCATAAAACAACCATGGATTTAAATTTGTTAGTAGATTTTTAGCTTACCTAAATGTGTGCTTAAGCACAC